TATATATATATATACGCATATATATATATAAAAACAGAAGTCTAATTACAGCAACATTTGTTACTCTGTGATAAAATCTGCAATTTACAAAAATGAAATGACTGGTTTTTGCCTGCCATTAAGGCATTTCAAATTAACACCATGGAACTGATGTCTGTAATAAAGCGCTTCTTCATGTGATCCAGTCACATGACAATGTATATCTCCAAACTCATTATTCTCTGAAAAGAGAAAGAAGAAGGTTTTAGTAAGCAGTAACGTTTCTGCCTAGTTTTTTTCTGTACCTCAGACACACTCTGAAATGAAATCTGCACAGTACTCTCAATCCCAAGAAGGGAAGACAGCAAGCCATGTCCTTGTCCCTCCCCTGCCAGGAACAACACACAAACAAGTAACCTCTGCTGGGATTTATCTTCCGAGTTCTGACACCCTAGCGTCCATCACTCTTTCAGGGCTACAAACCTTTCTCACTCAAATAGTTCCAGCTAAAAGCCTTACACGGTTGCTTGTTTTCAGAGTCAGCTTTCAGAAAGACACGCGTAACCACAGAACATTACAGTACTATTTGATACACTAAACTCTGAGGCTTAACATGGCAGCGATGAAAGAAACGCTAATATTAAGGATGCTCTGGGTTTTTCACTTGAAATGGAATCATGGTAATACAGAAGAGTCTCTTTCCTCTTGAACAGTAAGGATGATGGTTGAAGAGTAAAATCTACTGAAAAACTAGTAAATAACCCAAGAGGCAAATGCGTGGAATGGGTATGTAACTTAAATATGATGTCATCTCTAATGGAGTTCCAAGCAAACCTCTCTGAAAGCAAAATCAGCAAACCAGGCAGACTTGCAGAACAGATAAAATCTTAAGCTTTCCTGGTAGTCCATGGATCTAACTGAACTGAAATTTAAACCTCTTTTATTAAAAAAAAATTGGATCATAAATTGTATTTCATAATCACTTGTTTTATCTTAATACCAATCCTTAAAACAGAGTCTATGGAAAATCTCAGAAGACTTGTTCCTTCCTAATGATCTATGTTACAGTTAAAGGACACAATAAAGGACAAACTATCACTTTAAAGATAATAAAACTATAATTAACCCAAAGTCCCAAGTTTTTCTTCATCCTTAGAAACTGTGTCATACAAGGAACTATACACCATCAGGCTACAAAACCTATGATTTGCCTTCTCCTCTCTCTGTTAAGATATACAGTTTAAGATTTGCTGGCTATTTACCTTCTTTGTGCAGGAAACATACCAGATGCAGATGCCTGCGCAGCCACCTGCTGAGTGGCAACAAGGGCAGCTGAGGTCAATCCTGAGGGAAAGAAAAAATGAAGGAATGTTGATGTACTTCTGGTTTTAATGGATTTTTGTGCTCAGAGAAATGTTAGGAAGCATCTCTAAGGTAAGCAGACAAAAAATGGTGGGGTTTTAACACTACATAAATAGCAAATATTACAGGCAACAGTGTTAAGACGGTCTGCCCAGTATGATCAATATGCCTTCATATAGTAAACTGAATTGTCCTTGATAGATATTTTATTAGAAAATACAGCATTCCTACTTACTGTATTCCTTTCCAAGTACTGCACTGCATGATGCTAAGTGGTTTGTATGAGTTTCTGAATAGGAAGCTCAGTAGAAATAATAGGTACCAGGAAACAACAAGAATCAAAAGTCACAGTGAATTACAGAAACTACATGCCAGCTGCTCAGAATACAATACTTTCATAATAACGTATCATTTTTACAGTTTTCCTACTGAACAAGCATAATGCATCCCAAAAGGCATATGGAATCACTGAATCAAACTGAGAAATGTCAAGACTTTTACACAGGAAAAATAACTGCTGAAGCACCAAGTGAACGTAATGAATTAATGTCATTTAGCCACCAATTGTGATAGCATGTACTTTGCTGCATGGGAGCAAATCTCCTTTTAATTCAGCTAGAGTCCAGAGTTACAGAAAAACAGTCAAAGACCGCTATAAAACCTAGGGAGAATGAATCGTATCTTACTGTGCTGCTTTTTCCCTGACTGCAACTTTGTGCACTGCATTTGCCAAAATACAAAGAGTCCTCTTTCAGATGGTCAAATTATAACAAGCTCAAACCCTTGTGACTGCAATGCCTTGTACATAAAATATGTTCAGTATAAAAAGCTTTTGTCTTTGCTACACTTCTTCCATTGCTTACACAACCCTAATTATACAAAAAGGAGGTTGTTTGGTTTGGGTTTTTTCAGCCAGTTAACGTCAATTTGCAGTAGAAATCAAAACATTCACGTGAATGACAGCCTAACTGGTACACCTTTAATAATGCTCTAACACCCACTTTTGGAAACAAAACTTGGTATGTCTCAGGCATGAAGCTATTCATTTGCTGTTAGTCCATGCTGTGAATTTTCAAGCCTTCTACCTAAATGTAAAGTACTTCTGATTTAACTTCTATTCAAAATGTTTCACATAGGCATGACTTTCAATAAGGTAACAACTCCATGAGGCAAACTAATGCCACCATCGGAAATCTTCTCCTCACCTTGAAATGGGTCATATTGTCCAGGTATAAGGGGGTAACCCATTCCAACATGTGTGTGATGGTGCGTATGGAGATGCCGCTGGCTAAAAGGAGAATGACGGTCTCGTTCCCTTTCTGCTTCCCGTTCACGCTCAGCTGCTGATTTTTCCACAGGCTAGTAACAGAAAGAAAACTGATGTGAGAATTTTAAAAGGGATGAAATCACAACAAAACCACACTTGCCATTACCTGGCAACAACCTTTTGAATTCAAATGACGAAGCTGATTTTTTCTGAAGAAGTAGCTCTATTGGATTATTTGCGTTTGATTCTAATCCGAAGCTGGTGTATTGGCTAATGGCAGGTTTTCCAAGACACAGAGGTTTTGAAGTAGCACGCTGCAGCTTGAAGCCACCATGATGACTTCTAGTTTTGGGGTCCCTTAAGCTTGGCACTTGCCAGTGCCTGAACAACCTACCGAGCTGCTGAAAGCTGATGTAAATGAATCCCCAGCCCTCTTTAATGCACTTTGGGGATCAAGTCTGCCCGAATAGCAAGAAAGCCCTTTTAAAAATATAATCAGAGCTAGTGACTTGCTCACAGTTAAAACTAGCATCAACTTATCTGAAAGTAAACAGTATTTGCTCCAATATGGAAATCTTCAGCAATGGGGGCTGGTAATCTGCTATTTAGAAGATGTGGCTTCTTGGCAAATATAGGGAGGGGATATTACCAAATCTCCAGCCCTAACTAATCATTTAATTATCTGTTTCCAAACAGGAGCTTCCTGTTTAACTGAAATAAACTGTGCACCAGGAGGTATCTCTTAATCAATGTTTCTATATATGAGTACATTCATTTAAGATAGGAAGACTCTCAGAACAGAACTGTGTTGTATGTGTCACTTCCAGTTTATGCCATGGAAGCATCCTGACTATAAACTGCTTTTATTTTAAGCAGTGCTATAAAGAATAATAATGCATTCAGAGCTTGATGCCAGATTGTGTGCTTTTTAAAATTATGTTCTCTACCCCTCCCCATATGTACTACTCTTCAGTAACAACAGATGCAAGCCTTACAACAGGGGACTTGCTGCGATACTGGTTGGCATGCTGCTGGAGCAAATCCAGTGCTTTGGACTCAGTGGTTGATTTCGCATTGATGCTCGGGCTGGTATTGACTTTATCTGCCTCTTCTCTCCCTGACATCTTCCCATAAACTGGATAATGAAATCCTGGAGAGAGATAGGCCCCTGCAGGTAAACAACAAATACCACATCAAGTTACTGTTTTTACATTTTGGTTATACCAAGGTGGAAGGAGGGGACACCAGGACAGAGGATAACATCAAAAATGGATCACATGACTATCAAATGGCATCTTTGCTCTTCAATTTCTTCACCTAATTTACCCTGATGAATGGAGGTTATAAAGAGTGTTGAGCTGATAGCCATTTCCGACATTTATGGGTCGTCTTTAAGTGAAAGGAATAGTAACTGTAATGGTTCTGACAGTAAGTGCTTAGAATATTTTTATAGGCAATAAACTATCTGTCAGTCTAACAGCAATAGCAGACTGTCAAGGGTTGAGAAAACTGTAGCTGGGAACTGTGACAGTTCATAAAAGGAACATCTTGTAGTAAATCAGTTTCATCTACAGAACTTTCCCTAGTGGAAGCACACGCAAAACAAATGTCACCCATGAAGCTTCTAATTTACCCTAGCTACTAAGAGAAATATTAAAATGCAGGCTTTACTGCACTTTGAGGGTGTAAATCTTAACTAGTGTGCAAGGCAAATTTCAGAATACATACCAGGATAGCTGTGCATTAGGACAGGAGAGACTGCGCGATAGGCTGGATGGTTGGGGTCGTACATCTGTGGATAAGGATAAGCATGCAAGTACTGGATATATGACTGATGCTGACTCATTGGTGAGGAAACTGCTACTCTAGCACCCCGAGAGTCCTTCCAATTTACAGGAGTCTTTCGATCATCATTTTTTATCTTGCTCTCATCCACTGATTGAGAATCAGAACGCTTGACCTCTTTAGGCTCCTCTTTAATGCTTGCTAATGAGACAGGAAGGTTAGGCAGGGAACTTTCCTTGTTAGGTGTTTTTCTAGGGCTGTCTTCTTTTAGCTTTTTCTCACGATCAAGTTCTTCTGATTTTTGCTGATCAAGGTATTTGGGCTGATAGACATAATGATGCCATGTTCGTGAATCTGGATCCTAATATGGAGGAGAAAAAAAATTTGGTTCTGAACTTGGATGTTGAAATAAGATCGTTATTGATATTTCCCATACTTCAGTTAATGTATTTTTAATAGCTGTTTTAATAACATTTCCCTATTACATAGAGGAGAGGTGTGCTTGCTACAGAGTGCCTTGAGCTCAAAGTCAAACCAATATTCCCCTGAAGGAGCAAGAGACTATTACAAAAATTTAATTCAATTGCTTCATCTTATATCCTTCTTCATGCTTTTAACTAGTTTAATCATGAAAGACATATGCATTGTATCAAAGTTCTGAGACCACGCTATTCATAAAACATTTTAATTAAAGCCCACAGAGAGATTTTCCCACTAGAGAACAAAAAATACCTGTGAACCACAAAATTAAAGCTTGCTAATAATATGCCAGAGCATCCAGATTACCTGGAACAACAAACCTGAAAAACTGATCTGACTAGAAAGATGCTAATGCTGCCTCTGATGTTACAAACATTCAGGAATCAGTGGAAGTCAGGCATTAAGGCAGACTTCGTCAGCTGACAGTCTTATTTCAAGTTTGTAAAGTTACACATGGATATATATTTACAGGATCAGGACCACATCATTTAATGAATATGTAGAGGATATCATAAATACATTTTTGCATAATATATTGCATAGAACAGTGTATAAACATGTTTTAGAAGTAGGTAGGTGAGTTCTTCACAAGACTACAAACCAGTACTAAGCAGTAACAGGAAGACTTTTTTTTCTAATACAGGATACACAAGAGCTAATTGTAAACATTGTCTCCCACTGACGCTCATTTATGGCACATGCAACAGAAACATAAGCACACAACTAGACGCTTGGACAGCCTGGTTCAAATACTCACCTGAATCAGCAGAAATCTTCTCCTACTCGGGCCTGTACCATCCCACTTCCTTCCTAACTCCCACTCACCTGACCCCACCATATGTTGAAAGACAGCTCATAAGGGTGAGGTCTGGGATGTACCGTACAACAGAACATGAAAGCTTCAAGCACTGAGGCTCGGTTCAGAGCACAGAGACAGCTGCATTGCCTTGAATGAAGGCAATGTGACATCTAGGAAGGTCAGCACGAAGCCACTGGATGAAATTCTGGTTCCACTGAAGTCAATGGCAAAACTATCACTGACTTCATTGGAGAGAGGATTTCATCCATTGTATAGGTCTGTAGGGGCTTGAGGTTGGCTGAGGAGAGAAGGGGAACTTAACTGCTTCAAAAAGGTCACCTTGGGTTAAGATAAAGAGCTGAGCTTCAAGCCAACTCTTCAAAGAAGCAGCTCACCCATCTTTAGTAAATGCCAACTATCATTTAACAAAAAAAAGAAACACTTCAAACTACGTTTCAAATCTACTTTAAGTCCTCTCACTATGAAAGCTGCTTATTTTGCTTGGAATGTCTCATTTCTGATCTAAGCAAATTGCTTAGAATTTACATCTAAAAGAGAAATTTAATTCTATTTTATTCATGCATGTAATTTAAAATAGTCTATTCAGGTCTTAAGCCTGGGTTCTGTCACCACGTTGCTAGATTTTTTTTTTTTTTTTCATTTTCAAACAGCTCGATCGAAAGGTCTATTGGTCTATTCACAGACTACAGTACTATCCAGCATGAAAAAAGGATGAAAAAAAGATTTGTTTGGCTGCAAAAGTAGAAAAACATAGCAGAATCAGGGACAAAATCTCACATGACTTAAGGATAAATCAAGACACCCTTATTCCATTTCCTGTAATCTTACCTGCTTAAACCTTGTGGTTGGATCTACTCCCGTTTGCTTCATGGAGTCCATAACAGATTTCATCTCCACAGCCTCCTTAATAAGCTGGTGGTTTTCCATTTGTTTGGCTTTGAAACTGTCAGACTGAAGCTGCTGCTGGTGATTGGAAAGGATCTGTGATTTGCTTGTCTCCTCACCTTTGTTAGGGACTGATGGCCCTATTTTAGTGTTATTTTTGCTGGACTCTGGAGTTGAAGGGGCCTTTGAGACAGTGGCAGATGGAATATTCTTCTGCTTATTGTCATCCTTCCCAATCTCCTTCATGGGAGGGTCATTCTTCCTTTCACAGTCCCTCCCAGTTTGTGCCATTTTCTGTTCTGCTAGTCTCTGGTCCTCATAGTATTTTTCATACTGCTGCCTGTAAGCAGGGTTAGAGGCCATTAAAGACTTTTGGTCCATATAGAGCCCATAGGCATACTGTCCATAATAAAGTGACTGAGCAAGTGCAGGGTGTCTTTGTGTTATTACTGACTGATGTTGTGGCTGCAAATTAGTGGAAGTGCTTTCGCTTTTCTTGCCATCTGATGGTTCTGCCTTTTCTTTCTTTTCAGCCTCTTCCTCAGTCTCTTTTTTGATCTTCAGTCCCTGTGGGGTACTGCTGTTCCCAGCTGCTGGGGCACTGACCTGTCCAGAGTGCATGTAACTTGGGGAATAATAAGGATCGTAGCCATGGTAATAGGGAGAAAGGGACTCTTTCGCTTGAGCTGATTGTGCTGTGGTTGAAGAATGTCCTTTTCCAACACCATCCTTATTAGAAATAATATCTGACGGAGAACTGGCCTTTGACCTCATGCCCTCTGACCTGCTGTCAGAGCCACCATCATCAGCCGCATCAGAAATATCCGAGTAAGCAGGGCTGTTGGTTTTAGCAGCCGTGCTATCTGCACCGTTTTGCGTCAACACGTGCAGTGGCGCCATGGCAGATTGTCCATTCACCAAAGTGCTGCATTCCATCCTGGAGGCACTCCCTATGGAAGGGCTGGGCGCATTGTCTGTGAATGTGTAAACCTTATCAGCTTCAGCCTTAATACTTGCCATCCTGCTCTCTTGAGACTCTGACAGTCCATTAGCTAGCACTTCATTCTTGTTGAGATGGTCCTTTAAAAAATGTCCAGATAAGTCCTTCCCAGACCCTTTTGAATCCTCCAGCTTTCCCAGCTTAGAATCCATCTTGGGGCTTCCCGTCTCTTTGCTTTCTTTGTCCTTCAGCTTTCGTTTCTCCTTTTTCTTTTTGTCTTTGAGTGACGTGAGAGCTGGGTTTACAGTGCTTGGCTCTCCCATAATTGTGGGCTTTGGTTGAATAGGTTTTAGCGGAGGGCTCTTTGGTGTAGCCTGAACAATAGTAGTTGTTAGAGAGGGCAGTCCCGGTATTGTCCCTGTAGTGGTGGTTGTAAAGGCTGTAGTAGGTATAGCTATTAATTGGGGAGGAGTTGGTGCTGGAGCTGGGGCAATGGGCCTGGCTGTTTTCAGTTTGGAAAGGTTTTTATCCACTTTGCAATTGTTCGCTTTCTTGCCTTTATCACCCAAACTCTTCTTGTCGATTAACCCTTCAGCCTCCAATTTTGGCATTTCAGTTTGCAAATTGCCCTCTGTTACAGAGCAATTATCCAGTGTGGCTGCCATATTAGAAATTACGGGAAGGCTGTTCAATTCACTGTTCAGACCCTTCTTTTTGCCAGAATTCTTGCCAGTTTTGGAACTGATAACTGAACCGGGGCCGTTGCTGGTCAGTTCCCTTTTTCCCTTGGGGGTCCCTGGGGTAGTGATGGAGGAAGGAGACATCGGTGCTTTCAGTGGATCAAAGCCTGGCAAATTTGTGCTTGGCTCATTGCATTCAAGTGCCACATTACTCAATGCTTCCTCACAGTCTGAAATTTTGTCTTCACTGTCAGGCTCAAACTCCAGTTTGTTTTCTGGGTCTAAATGTGCATGAGCCTGATGGTATCGTAGTCCATTAATGTGCTTGTACTTTTTGTTGCAGTTGGGGTGAGGACAGTCAATCAGCACTGGAGAAGAGCAGCCTTGGTCCAAAAAAGTAGTCTCAGGTTTCCCCTGTGGGGTGGTAGGAGTGCTTCTAGAGTTAGTACGAACACGTTTTCCACATTTATTGTCCTCCGAACTGGAGTTCAAATCTAGCTCCATTGGAGGCTTGGTTTTCCTCTTGTTTGTGGATGAGGGGCTGGCTTTGACTTCATCCATGGCGCAGTTTGGGGGTGTCCTGCGCCCACTTGAGTTAAGGCTGCCCCTCCTCCCCTTCCCATTGGCACCACCTCGATTCTTATTCTGAAGCCCTCTAGACTCTGCAAAACTCGCATCATTCCCGGGTACAGCTGCAGCTGCGGCTGACCTTGCCCGTTTTCCCCTGCCCCGTCCTCCACGCATTTCCAGGTCACTTGTTGGCGATTCACAAAACCTACATAAAGAAGAGCAGATTTCATCATCCAGAGCTGTGAACTGAATAAATACCAAAGCAACACCACTTCCCATAACAGAACCTTCACACATGTTAAAGCAAAGATGTCCTTCTTCCAAATGTGAATGTTACAGTCTCAAAGGGAAAGTCATTACAAAAGGACAAAAATGGTAAGAACAAGACCACCTAATTAGAACAATGGAGAGAAAAAATTTCCAAACTTACAGAAATGCATTTTAAATTAATTGCCCTCTGATTGAATGCCATGTATTTCCACTTCCCTCTCAAAAATACAAACAAAAAAGAAATAAAAATTCCCACCCCACATTTCAGTGCGGAACAGGGAATTACTCGTTTCACTGATGCATGTTTTCAATTATAACCAGTTGTTTTTTATTAATTTCTGTACAGTCTCTTGACAGAGATTGGGGGTGAAAATACAGCAGAGAAAAACCAGACTCAGAATGTTTGCCTACCTAGGAGGGGCCCAGTCATGCTTTGTGCAGTCCAGCAGTGTTCCCACGTAAGTCTTGTTCCGCCACGTAACATTTACCACTAGAACACCTGCCAGTGGGAGAAGAACAGAGTATTATCACAGTTAGAACAATAGCTGGGTAGGCTTTTTGTTTTGCTTTTTTTTTGCATTTTTTCTCTCCTTCCCCACGAAGTGAGAGCTTTATTCTCATTTGCTTTCAGACACTGTGGTCTATACTCTTCCTCTTTTCTGGTTTCAGTGACCTCAACTTAAAACCCACAGGAAAGATGGCAAACGACAAAGAACAAGAGCGTGTGTACGCATGTGTATGTAAGAGAGAGTGTGTGCCTGTGTGACTGCGTGTGTAATCAAGATACAGCTGACAGAAGGAAATGGTTTTTGCCATGTCCTGCTGTAAAACAGCAACACTCACCTCTTAATTTTGCTATTATTGCACATAATTGCTTTCGCTTGGCAGCCAGCCAGCATAAAATAAGCACCAGTTACAGTGTTTAAATCAGTAGGTGACTGAGAAGAATCTGCTTTGCTTTGAACAATATGATAATGATGCTTCTATTTATTTGAAATTGCATATATCCAAGCACACAAACACAGACACGTATGCATTGCAAGTTTTGTTCAGCAGATATAGATGGAAATGTGTATATTTGCCTTGCTTTTTCTTCTGTGGAAAGGAAGGGATTGGACATGAAATTGCAACCATATAGTAAAACTAAGAGGAATCACAATACAGATACATAGAAAGAGGGATCCTTTAAAAAATGTAGTGCAATTTAATTGCTTTTCCACTTATGACTATTACTAAATGTAAATTCATCTGCCCATCTGAAGCAGACTTATAATTTTGGTTTATTCAAATGATCCCTGTAAAATGTGTGCACCGTAAGGATAGCCTAAGTAACAATAAAATGTATGTGGGGGTTTTCATTCAAATGTTTTCAGGTTGCCCTCAAACACTTCTTCACATAATTTATCATCACATTTATGACCTAGCCAGCATAACGACCCCTTTAATTCATTAACTTCTGCAGATAAACACAAGCCAGTATTATTGAACTAGCCATCTCTTCTCATTACAACATGCACTGAAATAAAAAATGTATTTTACCTAGCAAAGAAAGGCAGGACGCAAAATGTTTCCAATGTGTGGGGGGCCTGAAGACACTAACTCGCAGCTGCCAGCCTTGCGACTTGTTTTTCCTCTACACTTCCCATGTTCTAGCTGCAGCGTTTCTGTAACGGATATAATAATGGCATTGTGCCAGAACGCGTCCAGCCGGCCTTTTTTGCTTTGTCTTACCAGTGCCATTTCTAATTTTGCACTAAACCGATCCCTCTCTGCTGCACCAAGGTAAAGTAAACATGCAACCAGCCGCTTATTTCCTCAGGGGCTGTTTAACAGCGGGGAACTATTTGAAGTGTTGTTAGCGGAGGTAGGAGGCCAGCAGGGGTTTCCTTGAAAATTCTCTGTAGCAGAGTTGAAAATTACCGAGATGTTGTCCCCCTGCCATTATGGTAAGGCAACTGTAATTTCACATGCTGGGGCGAACTGATCTGAAGGATGAACGGCTCTTCCAGCCAGGGGCAGAGCCAGGCTTTAAGTACCTAGAAGGATTAGGGGTTAAAGCACTATGCCGCACTTTTATGGCCTACGCAAACTTGGCAGCCTGGGGAAAAGAAACACTCCTC